CAAGGAGTTTACTACTCTGTTGATAGAAAGCGTACTTAACAATGTATCACATTTCAACACCCTCTGCCCGCGTCTATTGTTCTACTAATAAACCTCCAGACAAGGAGTTTACTACTCTGTTGATAGAAAGCGTACTTAATAATATATCACGTTTCAACTCCCTCTGCCCACGTATATTGTTCTACTAACAAACCTCCAGACAAGGAGTTTACTACTCTGTTGATAGAAAGCGTACTTAACAATGTATCACATTTCAACTCCCTGTGCTCACGTATATTGTTCTACTAATAAACCTCCAGACAAGGAGTTTACTACTCTGTTGATAGAAAGCGTACTTAACAATGTATCACATTTCAACTCTCTCTGCCCGCGTCTATTGTTCTACTAATAAACCTCCAGACAACGAGTCTACTACTCTGTTGATAGAAAGCGTACTTAACAATTTATTACATTTCAACACCCCTGCTCCCCATTGTAGTTAGTTGTCTTAATGTCTGTCAACTATAGAAACCACTGTTAAATTTGCTTGTTTGTAGTTAAGCACAAAGCTACACAATAGGCTATCTGTGCTCTGCCCACCACGGATATCAAAACCCGGTTTCTAGAGGTGTAAGTCCTCAGACATACCGCTGTGCCACTGGGGGGCAGCACTGTTAAGACAAAGACCAATTTCGAAGCTCTGCCAGATAGAGAAACTAGCTTTCTATCAAGCCATAATTACCTTTCAACCAGTCACCATTATCATGTTCATATATTATATAGAAGATAATTGTCCATAAGATAGTCACCAATTTCGACTTCCACCATATACATCTATAGAAACCAGTTTTCTATCAAATCATGTTACTTTTCAGGAAGTCTCCGTTTAAAAATTATACCAGCTAAAGAGCTCATGTTATTTTAAGACATCCCCTTTTCAAATTATGTGTGACAACTAAAGAATTCATTCGTCTAAACAAACTATGTTATATTTCAGGTGGTCTCCTTGTCAATGTTATACTAGCTATAGGCATCACTTGTCCACCAAGTCTTGCTACTTTTAAGACAGCCAACACTTTCTGCTAACACAATCATTCGTACAGTCACCATCTTCAAATTATACCAGGTATTGAATTTACTTGTCTATATAGTCATATTACCAAGATGTATGAGTCGATTATAGAATAAACCCAAGAACACAAACAACTGAAACTAACCCCAATATTTATTATGCAAAATATATTTTTCCCAACGCCCTCTAGAAAGACAACATAGGATTGCCTTCAAAAGCTTCCTTTACTCGTAACCCTAAGTTATATTAATGTTTTCACAAATAACTTGGAGCTACAATGAGCATTAATCTTCTAAGGAAAATGTAAGTAAGTGTGTTTAATTACCGAGTTTCATTTTTAGGTTGAAATATTAAAGGTTTTGCCCTAGTTAACATAAATCTGACTGTATATCGACGCTCCGTTACCCATCTATTACTATAGATTTCCATTAGACCTCTTAAGGTAGTCTGGATCAGTGGTTCCCAACTTCTTTTAGTCTGAGGCCCCCCAGCCTATAACCAATGTTATTAACATTTTGCGAAAAGTATGGCAAATGTAGACTAACCTGTCTTACGCTTACATTATAGGTACTTAAGTGTGAACAAAATCAGTCAGCACTCTCTCGAGTCTCGCGACCGACTGATATGGTTGTTCCTCTCCACCTCTCACATTACTTTAGCATGATGATTGAAAAACAGTGCCAATGTAAAAATAATAACATCTTCTTTCAGCTTACTGTTATTGTATCATTTCATTAATGTAACATAATTTTATCGGCTTATTGTTTATTTAGAATTAGAATATATTCAGCATCTTTGTTTTCGGCCCATTTTGGCGGCCCCCCAGAAGAAGATTCACGGCCCCAATGGGGCTGCGGCTCCCACTCTGAGAAACATAGCTCTGGATAGTTCTATAAGTTATTGAACTGCGGACAGTAATTCCTAATTGGAAAGTTAAAGTCAAGAAGTGTTCTGTCTCTGACAATAAACAGTGAGAAGGTGAAAAACGAAATTTTGCGATCATATAAATGTTTGAATAAAGTATATATTTATTTACGTATTTTTTATACAGTAGTTTCATGTACAATAAAAAATAATTTCTAAATTTTAGATATATCTATTTATCTTTAATAGAAACATCTTGGGTCCAGAGGGCGTTGTTTCAACACGTCTGAGGGTGAGAGTAGAACTTGACCTATGGAAACGATAAAGTATTGTCACATATCAATTCCAAAGTGAATAACGTATCTATTAAGTATAGAAATATATTGGTTTTATGTGAAAATAAGTACATCTTAGGAATGAATATCTCTCTCTCTCTAGTTTTTCTTAAAAAGGGTATGTTTCGTATAAGTTTCGTGCAATTTTTATTCCAGGTTTTAACTCTATCATCAATAACATTTGATCAAAGTAAACTATCCACATATATCAGCCCTAAAAGTTAACCTAGTAAACAATGTATCTAATTTAAGAAACCGGTTTAATTAGAAGCATGCAGTGTACCAAACAAAAACTCATAATTATTAGAATGGACTTAATGATCAATTGGGTTACAAACTGCATAGGTATTTTAACAATAAATTTTAACACTGACCTCTAGTAACCTTTAGTCCCACCACCATCTGCCTTTGCCGCCGCCCAAACCTCCACCAAGTCCGATTCCAAAACCACCTCCTCCATAACCGCCTCCTCCATAACCGCCTCCTCCATAACCACCTCCTCCATAACCGCCTCCTCCATAACCGCCTCCGTAGCCTCCTCCTACAACTAGTCTTACTGGAACAGCAAGAATATGGGCTACACCACCGTATCCACCAATCCCTCCTCCGATTCCCCCAATCCCTCCTCCTATTCCCCCAATTCCTCCTCCTATTCCCCCATACCCTCCTCCTCCGCCACCATAGCCTCCACCACCGTAACCTCCACCACCATAGCCTCCACCACCGTAACCTCCTCCGCCATAACCAGTTGCCTCAGCTTGCAGGTCTTCTTCAGCCTTGTCATCAGCTTTGTCCTCTGCACGTACCACCAGGACCACCAGAGTGAAACAAACGGCTATAAATACCTTTAAGTAAGAATACAAAACCATTAGAATTAAGTAGAAATTATGTATTTAAAACAAATATAACAATTATACAACAAAATGAACTTCTTAAGACGCGAGAAATGTATGAAGACATGGGTTATAATAAGCTCTTTTACACGCAAAATAAACTCAATGTTTCAAGCACTTTCTGCCTTCTTTGGACGTTAATTTAAAGAAAAATAAATTAGTTGACTAAGTGACACGGAAATTTAATTAGAAAAGCCGCAATCGAAACAATAGTGTATTTTTAGAAGGCAACTGAGGCAAAGTTTAATAACTAACACCATATAAAAAGAAAGTTTAGGTTTTACGATATCACATCAAGAGAAAAATTAACAAGAACAAATTATGGAGAAATAATAAAATATTATAAAATTACAAAATTTGGCAAATTATTAGACTGTTTAACATTAGCTTTGATCTCTCATCGATAAATGACCCCCCCCTCCCAGTGGCACAGCGGTATGTCTACGGATTTACAACGCTAGAATCCGGGTTTCGACACCCGTGTTGGGCAGAGCACAGGTAGTCCATTGTGTAGTTTGTGCTTCACTTCAAACAAACAGTATCAAAGGAGGCCGGGCACAGTCTGGTGGTTACAGTATTTAGCCCCCGAGTAGCACAGCGGTATGTCTGTGGACTTACAACGCTAGAATCCGGGTTTCGATACCCGTGTTGGGCAGAGCACAGGTAGCCCTTTGTGTAGCTTTGTGCTTAATTACAAACAAACATTATTAAATGAAACATTCTAGCTGTGTTTCAATAAGAATTGTGGACACTTTAATAATTAAGCCCTTGTGATTATGAACATTATTCTCCTCATCACGCCCCCTAGTGGCACAACGGTATGTCTGCGGACTTACAACGCTAGAAACTGGGTTTCAATACCCGTGTTGAGCAGAGCACAGATAGCCCATTGTGTAGCTTCGTGCTTAACTACAAAACAAACGAAGCGTTCATCACATGAGAGTTAGTTTAACATTTTGTGAATGCTGTTTGAGACTGCTTCTCCAAACAAAGCAGCTGATAAAATATATATAATACACTCACAGTATAACATCACAAGAAATCATATCTTACCTTTCTCATCGTCGTCTTTGCTGTTTACTTCACAAGGATTGATTGACGAAGTTGGTTGTAGTGTTCTTGTCGTCTTTATTTATACCCTAAATCGGGGTGGTCCAAAGAATCCTTCTTCTTTTCACTAAACCGCCAACAATGCATGCGAAATAATCACGTGATAAGGACTGACAACCTTAATTTGTCACTCCCCTTCTCTCCACTTGTACGCACACATATTTTTACTCAAACTAAGCCATTTTCAATTTGCACAGGCCAATGAACATACTAATAGCTAGGAAGTAAAAAATAGAAAAAGAAGCGGACGCTTGAATCTAATCTTATCACAAGCAAACAATAGGAGAAACTGCAAGTAACATGTTACCCTCGGGAAAAAACAACTAACGTGTCTACCGTGGAAGGTTACACTTTAATATATATATATATATATCAATTATATATTCAATCAGAACACTTATATTTTCTTTCATTTTACGTTTAGGTATAACGTGAATGTAGATGGTTAAGAAAGCATGTCTTTAAATAACATTCAACCAGGTTTCGAAATGTAAAAACCAACAACAAAAAACAAGACATTCGAGATAAAAACTACCAGCCCTTAGATATAAGACGTAGGATTGAGATGTATGTGTATTTTAAAGTAAAGAACATCTGTCGCTGACCTTTTTGCATTATTATGTACGAAACTAACCAGAAAATAGGTCAACGTATTAATATCGTACGTCTAGAAATAACAGGAAGGCACTGAAATGAAACCAAAACCAAAACACTATTCGTCCATTTCACAATTAAAGTGCGTGATCTACATGAAAAACACAGCGGAGTAACTGATTTACAGAATATTATTCCACACACGTGTCTTTGAAGAGTTAACAGGAAAACAGAGAGTAATCTCATGAACTTGTCAACGATAGTTTAAAGACACGGTGTTGATGTTGTGATTTTTTTTAAGAAGCTCGATACAATGATATTATTATTACTGAACCACTGAGAGCTTGTTACAATCAAAATATGACAATAGACAGCGAGAGAATCAGATCTAGAGATGCTTAAATATAATATTTTAACTTTTAAAGCAGAGTATTGCTAGTCAAAATGAGGAAATTGTATGAAGAAATACACGTGAGCTCGTGCGTAGTGGCTTCTTTTTAATGTCCAGAAGTTCCAAGTATTTCAGTGTCACTCACAGAACAACGAACTAACTTTTCCACGAGTCCTTGTAATAACGTCTCTTAGTTACAATCGCGTGCTGTTTTTCTGAATAAGAACTCAAATCATTTGTTTATTATTTAATTTGGTGTTAGCGTTCCCTTTACCTGATTGCTGGGAAATGTATTTAATTGTTCTAGCAGTAAATAGCGAATTTTAATTTATTACACAAAAATATGTTTGTTGTTAAGCGCAAGGCTACACAATGGGCTATCTATGCTGTGCCCATCACGGGTATCGAACAAAATTTTTTATATGTGACGCTTGTCAGTAAAGGTGTGTCATTTACTCATAGCTTAAAAATCTTAATGGAATTTTATCACTGACATGATATGTTGTGGATGAGTTCCATTCTCACATACCCCAAGAAGTTAATATGATTCCCCAGAGGTCATCCGCATCTGGGCTATGTAGCTAGTTATTTAAACCCTGATTTGTTGACGTTTAGCACATAATAAAGAGTATAAAACGAAAAACTAAAAAACAAATGACCGTTCCTATCTTAAGATAAAAGCAGGCACTATAAAGGTAGATTTATCAATCAATTCTATCATCTGTCATCCCCATCATAATCACACATATATATTTTCCTAATCTGCCATTTAAGGAAGTTATATATACTTGTCACAATATATCAGAGAACGTAACAGGTTTCTTGATCCCGACAAGTTTAAAACGCAAAGGAGATCGAGACCAAATAGAACTTTGATTGACATTAGACACTCTCTCTCTGGTTAGATTAGAATGAAAAGTGAAACACTTAACAACATTTAGTGAAACAAACAAAAGTCATAGTAAATATATATACAGCTTGTTCAACAGTTTTTAAAAACCACTGTACAGACAGTTAGTTGTATCGGTGAACAAAACTCTGATAGAAAGTTATTTTTATGATAATATATGTTACGAATACATCCTTTGTTCCTTATTTTTTCCTGACACTAGTTGATTTCGGAACGGTATTATATATATAATGTTGTAAATATTGGTACAGATTCTGAAAATCTGCATTATCTTGCGTTGAAATCACTCCAGACGTAAAAAGTTTACGCAAAATAACTGGGTTGGCTACTTGTGTGCATTAGAAAGATTGTTTGTTTGTTTTGAATTTCGCGCAAAGCTACACGAGGGCTATCTGCGCTAGCCGTCCCTAATTTAGCAGTGTAAGACGAGAGGGAAGACAGCTAGTCATCACCACCCACCGCCAACTCTTGGGCTACTCTTTTACCAACGAATAGTGGGATTGACCGTCACATTATAACGTCCCCACGGCTGAAAGGGCGAGCATGTTTGGTGTTGGACGGGGATTCGAACCCGTGACCCGCAGATTGCGAGTCGAGCTCTCTAAACCACCTGGCCATGCCGGGGCCCATTAGAAAGATAGTGATCGTAATTACGTTGAAGATCTTTGGACACAGGCTCGTTTTAAACGTATTTTGTGAAGATTTCTTAGAGCAGGTTCGTTTTAACTGTGTTTGGTAAAGATTTTTTGAGGCAGGTTCGTTTTAACCGTATTTTGTGAAGATTTCTTAGAGCAGGTTCGTTTTAACCGTATTTTGTGAAGATTTCTTAGAGCAGGTTCGTTTTAACCGTATTTT